ATATATATATATATTGCCAGAGTAGCAAGAATGCCAACGCAGCTGCCTGTCGTCGCTTCATCGAGAAACAATTTTATACTATGTCTATGATAAAAGTATTTTTTTATATAGAAATAGTATAATTTAAATTTATATGGATAAAACATAAAAGGTTATGATTTAATAAGTGATCGGATCAATAAGAAAGATACCATAAAAAAGAATGAAAATGATAAAATATTTTGTAATGATATAAAGAAAACAATAATTGTGCGGCAGATGACAACACAACACAACCACCAAGCAACACGTGATCCAAATAGCGCATTCGTTCCATATTCAACAATCACCATTTTTCTCATTAAAAACAATTTTATTTCCACGCCCTCCCCTCTTTCTTCTCGTCCCTTCTCATAATGAGTCAGTGCCTGTTCAGCATTACCGAAACCAGAAACCGGTGCTACCGGTCAGCGTTCTCCGGTTCGGGCCTCCGGTCCACGGTTACCGACTTGAAAGACGGAACCGTAATGCATTGCTGGGTGCCGAAGGCGCGAAGAGAGGCCAAGCCGAACCTGGTTCTGATCCACGGCTTCGGAGCCAACGCGCTGTGGCAATGGGGGCACCTAATCCGCCACGTGACGCCGCATTTCAACGTGTACGTGCCGGACCTCGTTTTCTTCGGCGGCTCCTACTCGTCGCGGCCCGAGCGGAGCGAGCGCTTCCAGGCGGAGTGCGTGGTGCGGGTGATGGAGGCGCAGGGGGTGCGGCGGGTGAGTTTAGTGGGGTTTAGTTACGGCGGCTTTGTCGGGTACTGTATGGCGGCGATGTGCGGAGAGGTGGTGGAGAGGGTGGTGGTGTGTGGCTCCGGGGTGTGTATGGAGGAGAGGGATCTTAAGGAAGGGCTTTTCCCTGTGACGGATTTGGATGAGGCTGCTAATATTTTGGTGCCACGAACGCCCAATAAGCTCGTGCAGCTTGTCCGCTATACCTTTTTCAAGCCACCTCCCTTGACCTGGTTGCCCTCATGCTTCCTCCTTGATTTCATTGAGGTAACAACTAATATACTCTTTCTACACTCTTCTACAAACTTTTATACTCTCAACTACCAACAAATTATTATAGGATTCATTCTATTTTTATCATCCAACTTTTAATATTTTTCACTTTTTTTTTCATAACTCGGTTAGTTTTTTTTATGTGACATATTATATTGTGTTATGTTATTATATATGGAAATAGAGTGATTTTATGGAGGGAAAGTTATGGTAACTTAATATATTTAAACTGTTTAATTTGTAATAATAGATTAGATTGTGACACGTGTACATTTAGCTCAAAATATAAATTATACACATGTCACAATTTGATTTATTTTTATAAATTTAACAGTTTAAATGCATTAAGTTACTGTAACTTTCATATCTCAAAGTTAGAGAATCTGAATTCATTATATATATATATATGTTATATTAATAATCCATGTTAACGAAAACATTTTACATTATGTGTATCAACTATCAAGTCAAGTGTTAATTAATAATGTCTAATAATCGATTAATAAGATAGTAAAATGTGTAAAATATTGAAAATGGTGATAAATGTAAAATTTTGAAAGTTGAATGAAAAAATTTACAAGATGCAAACGATAAGTGACAAAAAGTGCAATTGAGTTGTTATTATTAAATATGATTTTAATTTTTTTTTATACAAATTAACTATTTTATCATATATTTCAATTTATAATTGAATGATATTTAAAGAACTTACAAACTATATATAAAGATGAATTCATTTTGATATTCCCTTTGAACTTATATATAAGTTATAAAAAAAATAATTTCACCTATATTAAGGTAGGTAAATATATTTAATTTCATGATTTTATATAAATATATATTGCATTACTAAAATATATTTAATCACATGTATTATAAATAGTTTTCATTTATTGTTTTTGAAGTATTTTTAGATTAAGAGCATTAAATAAAGTTGACTTGTTTAAAATTTGTTTACATTTGAGGTAAAAAAAAGTTTAAGCATTTATATATATATATATATATATATATGTATAAAGGAGTGGTATGTAATGTTAGGTTTTGAAAGGATGGCTTTTATTTTACGTTTAGTGTACTTTAAAAGGATAATGGAATGCTGTAAAAAAAAAAGGATAATGGAATATGTTAGTAATTTTGGTGATGTTCTTTCAACACGGTTAGAGTTTTCTCTTGATAATTTACATTCTAGAGGCTTAAATTGGTGAGATGAAATTTTAATTTTAATTTTGATTTGAAGACAACATAAAACAAACTGTATTATTATACCTTTTTTTTCCTTTATAAAATGAGAGTTTTCGATCGTGTATCTAAGCAATATATATTCAGGAGAAGTACTAATTACACATTAATCGTGTACTACATCTTATACGGAAAGGAGAGAGAGATAGGAATAATAGTGAGACAATGCATGATAAGATGAAGGAAAATCACCTTTGGACACCTAATTGACACAGAGGAAAGGGAACTATAAATATGATATGTATGATGCGATAGAAAAAGAGACAGAAAAAATTGATGAGCTCGTGTTATTGAGGTGTTTGATATATGAGTACGAATGATATAATTCTGCGAGTATTGTCTTCAGGACTTGAACATTTTCCTGGTGACTTAAGTTTTGACTTTTAAGGGTACTTGGTCAATTTAGCACTGTTAGTTACTTCGTTTGTGTTCTTAAACTGGATTTGGATAACCTTGTGTTTAGTTTTTGGATGTAAGCCTGTGACAAGGGTGGACTTGATTCTTCTTTTATTTTTGCTTTGCCTTCCGTGAAACAATTGGATTAGTCTAGCAACGTAACCGCAAGAGTGTTTATAGGAGAAAAAGAAGGATCTGTTGTGTATTTTTTTTTTCTTTTGGTGAATTCTGTTGTGTATGTAATGATGTGTAATGGTTGAATTAGATTGTGTTTTAGCTGACATTTTGACTAACTAAAATATTGTGGCTGTACATTTGTGTGCCGTAGTGGATTAAATTGGTGAATCTGGGTAGACAATGTGCAGGGACTATGAACAAGAAAAGAGAGAATTGATCAAAGCCATTGCAAAGGACCGAAAACTTTCTGACCTCCCCAAGATATCTCAGGTTCATTCAAAGTTTCCTCTTAGCTAGATAATTTTTGCCCGTATTGTAAGTTTGTAATAGTTTAATAAAAGGGCTTGGTTTCATTTTCCATGCAGCCTACATTGATTATCTGGGGAGAACATGATCGAGTATTTCCTTTAGAACTGGGCCACAGATTGAAAAGGTTAATAACGCTCTTATTGTAGTTGCTAGCATCACTTTTGAATTTAGAACTCATTGGATTTTGATCACAGGCATTTAGGGGACAATGCTCAACTAGTGGTCATTAAGAATGCAGGGCATGCTTTCAACGTGGAGAAGGTCAAGGAGTTCTGCAGCATCTTGAAGTCCTATCTCGTGGATTTGCAGCTACCTCAGGAGAACTCACCATCAAATCGGCAAAACAACAGTAATCCAGTGTGAATTCAAACACCAAAAATTGAAAGAAAACCTACAGTGATTACAGAAGAAACAGGTGCGGGTAAAATGAATGATTTATTGAAACACATTCTTTTTCCATCTGTCTCCAAAGCAGGAGTTCAGTGGCATGTTGATAAATAAACTCTGATTTGCGTTGAATAAAAGCATCTTCAATTTTTTGTGTGCTTAATAGTGGTAAAAATATTAACTGTGGAATAAAATTATAAAAATAACTAAAGATTATGATATAGAGTATGTTTTCAAGTGTCATTAATTTTTACTCTAGTTTCTATCACTTGTAGCGAGATGAATTCCGTCATGTGAATATCAGTGGCTCAAACAGATACGATAACAGATTATCCACATCAATTTAATATTAGAACTTCTAAAAAGTAATCATGCATCAAGTGCATGAGCATGACATCCAATGCTCAAATATTCATTTCAATCCCAAGAATAATTCTTGAACTGATGGTCAACGATTGACTTTCAAGTAAACCTGCAAGTCAAAGAAGTACATATTTCATCTAGTTTGTTATGTTTAAACTTTAGACTCTGGTGTCTCAATTGTCCAAAAATCTGAATGATGTATTTCTTAATATGGACAAATTCCTATAGGACCACTTTAATGAGAAATATAATTGATCTTCACTAGCTGTAAGGCCCCGTCAAACCCTTCAAGGGTGTGGAGTTTATCGTGTTGCTGACACAAAAGTACATGCAACAGCTTGTAGCCAACCGAGCTTTTCATAGGGATTATCCAAATATCCAATTAATCTCATGGTAGAAGCTGGTTATTCATGTGCTTCTTACAGTTACAGGGGCATGCTTCCCTCCTGAACCTTAAAGGGACTCGGGAGCCTATGAATCTATGATTAGCTTTCATTGCCTCTTCCTTTAGATTACTTCTCTTGCATGACTCCTCCAAACACCAAAAAGAGTATCATTTTGCGTAACCCTTCTGCAAACACGTTGAACGCATATAAGAAAACGTAGGGAAAAAAGAACTCAAGCACGAATTTAGTATCAAGAAGTAATTTACTATGCCTCTTACGAGTAAATTTCAAGAGGTCTAAGCCGGGAAAATGCGCAGTTTTCTGGATTAATAATGTTTGCATGATCAGGCCGTGCCTTAAAATTAACACGTACAAGATGAAAATTACATTTCTTTTTTAACAAAGTGGCATAACTTTTTCTTGCGAGAGTAGCCTCTAATAATCTCATGTAGTAATTTCAGTCGTAAGTTCATATTTTATAGATAATGACTTTTGGAAATTCAAAATTAAATTTAACATAACTTGTTTATTTATTTTTTATTTTCTTGTTAAAAATTATTTGTCAAAGTCTTATAATTAAATATTTTTAATTTTTCACTCTTAATACAGTAAATAACAAATTCATTTGATATATTATTTAGATAGATAATCTTATAAGATTCGAGTAAGTGACGCGAATTCAAACATGTACTAAATATGTAAAATAATCTAATATGTAAACAAATGATCAATGTGAACAAAATTTTTAGTCATGCATCGAGGCATTATTATTAAAATTAATGGATACTCATAATTAGGATTTAAAGTGAGGAGTGTATTTTAAAGATAAAGGAAAAGTAATGATTAAAATTTATGATAAAATTAAATTTTTGTAAAATAAAATCTAAAATTAATTATAGGTTTAAATATATTTTTATTCTCTTAAATTTAGGATAAATTTATTTTTGTTCTCTCAAATTTAAAATTGTTATTTTTAGTTCTTGTAATTTTTAAAAATCTTTTTTTAGTCTCTCATATCACCAATCATATATCTGAAAGTGATAGACGATCAATTGAGTTTAATGTAATATTTTCACTAATAAAGACACCAATAGATAGATATTATATGATAATATTTGACAGATTTCATAACAAAATTTAAGTATAAAAATTAATTTTTTTTTTGAAATCACATGGACTAAAAATACTTATTTTAAATTGGAGGGACAAAAAATAAACTTACATTAAATTTAAAGGACTAAAAATGTATTTAAGTCTTAATTATAATATAATTTTTTTATTAATGGTTATTATTATATTTTATTCTCTAAAGTATAATTTTCTCACATTAAAGGAGTTAAATCTAAACAGTTATACAAGATTTAAGTATGCATCTTATGTCTAGTGTAATGATTAAATTGACTTATCTTCTTTATAGTTTAATAAACATGGAATTTTAGTTTTCTAAATTTTTTATTATAAATTTAATCGAATATTTAAAATTAAGCATCAATTTACCATTAACATGCTATTTTAAAATTAAACAAAAAATATTGACAAGTATCCATTCCACGAGTGATATTACTTGCAATTAATTTGACTAGTATAGACAAGTATTAATTTGCACATTGATCCTTATTTGAAAGTTAATGTGACTATATAATTATGTTATTTATGGACACATCAATTTTTTATTTTATTTAAATGGAATATTAATAATAAATTAATATTATTTAATTTTAAAAATTAAAAACTAAATTTATAATAAAAAAAACTAAAATTACACGTTTACGAAACTGTAAAGACTAAAAACAAATTTAATCCCAAGTGTAAGTAAGTACAATCCAAGTGCACAAAGACAGTGTAACCAAAACATCATATATTATCTCAAAATGACTAGCAAGGTGCATGAGGTGACACTAGAAATATAAAATTTCACACAAAAATGACACGAAGGTGCAAATGGTATAAAATAGACAAAACAAAATTGTAAAAATTATTCAACATTTTAAGTGAGAAAACTTTCTTTCATTATGGAGAAATTTTCACAAATCATATTTAAAAATTTAAAAGGAATTCAACGATTTTAGTATTAAAAAATATTGTCTAAACTTATATTGCTAGACAAAAATATATATTTTTATTTTATTATAGTTAGTACTTAAAATAATACTGATAAATACATGATTATTTTATTTAAATAGACCAACCTATAATGGATCTAATAAGATTTTCAAATGACCTAAATTCTGACTTTTTTTTGTCACATTGTAAAATTTTATTAATATTTATCAGTTTTATTAATTTAATTAATTTTATGACTAATTGTTTAATTGTTGTAAAACTCTCGGGATTAAGAAATTTTTATGAGTTTAGTTATTTAGGAGTTGTTTTAAATTGAGTTGAAGTCAAAGTTGACCAAATTTATATGAAGGTACATAAGATTTTCTTAAGATGTGAACTTCATATATCCATTTTCTTAAGAAAGTTAAAAAAAAAGTTAGAGAGAGAAGAGCTCTGGAGCCATAAAAACTTTCTTTTTCTTCTTCTTAAGATGTAAACTTCATATATTCATTTCCTTAAAAAAGTTAGAAAGAAGTTAGAGAGAGAGAAAGATAAGAGCTCTAGAGCTATAAAGACTTTCTTCTTCTTCTTTTACAGAAGTGTTCTAGAATCCTTCCCCAAAGTTAGTTGAGTAGCTATGTTGAGGTTTGAAGCTTTGGAAGTTGAGGATCAAAGTGTTGGTGGTATCGTGTGGAAAGATTGGAGTAACCCTATCTTACCTGCTCTTACCTCTTTCTTAGTAATTTGAGGTAAGAAAATCTTATAATTTATATTTGTTAAGTTGATTATGTTGATTTCTACTTGAAATAACCTCTTGATGGCTATTTTGATTGAATTTAAGAAGTAAAATTGCTTATTTTGTGTTTTGGTTCATTTGAACATATTGGAAGTAAATAGATGATTTAAAGTGGTTGATCATTGCATGTGTATTTTGGTGTTGGAATTGAATCACATGAAGTATACATATTTTGTTGGGTGTATTGCATGATGGTTTTGTAGAGAAATTTGTAGGTTTTGAGCAAATTTGTGATTCTGTCAATCGTGAAGATCACCACTGCATTGCATAACTTCATAGCGTTAGGCATGATGCAGGCTAGAAGTTCTCTGTCTCACTGATGTTAGGTACGAGATTGGTAGCGTGGGACATGAGTTAAAGGGGAGCTCTCTAATTTGGTCACATTACATAGGTTGATGGGCATTATGTAATTTTCCTTGGAACTCTCTGACTTGGTGATGTCAGACCTAAGATGAGTGGCACCATGTGTGATCAAGTCAGTGACTCTCTATGTAGACGATGTTGGACATAGGTTTATGGTGTCGAATGTGGATTAGGCAAAGACTCTTTGCTCAAATAATGTCAAGCGTGAGTTTTACGACATTGAACAAGGCGCACTCACAAACTCCATATCTCATTCAAGTTAGATGCAAGTAGTATAGTACTAGGTGTGGACAAGCTAGAGGCTTTCAACTTCACCAGCATCAACTATGGGCTAAATGGCACCGGGCGTGGTTATGATGAATGAAAATCATAAGTCAGTGATTTTAAATATTGAATTCATGATGATGGTTGTGTCATATGATGATGTTCTAAGTTGAGTAAGTTGAAAATTGATCAATATCAGAGTTGTGTGATGATAAGTTGTACAATGTTGAATGGAGTTATGTTGTAAATGCTTGATGTCTGTAGTTGTATTATGTTAATTGGCTTATGACTAGATGAAAAATGTTATTTTAAAAGATGAATATCCCATTATGAAAATATGATATTGTGGTACTTTAAGAGCCTAATTGTTGAAAACTCTTCTTCAGTATAATTGTCTCTTGAAATGGAGTGTTGAGTCTTTTTAAGTCCTTAGTTGATACCATATAGGGGTAAGGTTGAGTCATATTGGTTTAGAAGTGACCAACCAAGTAGATACAAGATTGGAATCCCTAACTAAGTACTAAAAGAGACATAATATTTGGAGGATATTCGATGAACTAATTCCATATAGGATTAGTTATGTATGCTAAAGTCATGGTAGACTCACACTAAGGGGGTGTATTGGATTAGGATTTTAAAGGACTTTTTTTGCATGCTTTGAAATGGTGCAGGGAATCACTAGGCTGTGCCTGTGCATATAAGCTTCTTGTTAGACTATCAGTGAATTCATTTTTGCAATTTTGATTTGCTGCCAGTGCAGCTTAAATCTTATTTGTCATACCAACGTTGGGTTTTATGTTTGAAACTTTGTAGAATTGATGAAATGAAATGTAAGAGAAAGGGATGGAATAGAAAATGATTTTGGATTATCAACAAGGCACATGAATCAAAATTACAAATAATTCTTTATAACAATTATTTTATCCAAAGATCTATTCTATTCCTGGCCATTAGTTAATAAATTTATATGCATTAAGGTGTGTTTGGCTTTTAAGTATCTGTCACCCTTTCCAGGATTCCAAACGTGGGAGAAACAATTTTTTAAATTAGTGTACACTCTTAAATTTATACGGCAACAAACGAATTTCAAGTTCATTAACAGGGCACTATCGGCCCAAAAAAGTACATTAAAAGGGCACTATCGGCCCATCATTGCAAAAAAGAACAACGCAAGAAAAGCTTAAGACGCCACCTCCGGTTCCCCCTGAACCGGGCCGTCCTCAGACGCACCTTCCTCGTACGTCGTCTCCTCCTCGTTCGGCCCAGTTGGCCGTGCTAGAGCTTCCTCGCCGACTTGTTGGTCTGGAGGGATGGAGGTCAAGTCCACCAACTTACCTTGGAAGAAATCCTTTGTCATATCAAGATGAAATTCAGGGGGGAAGTCGCCGAAGAAGCATGCCTGCTGAGCCGCCTGGGCAAACCCAACCTGATGCTGAGAGAGGACCTTGTTGCGTACCTTTTCCCTATAGGCCCCGAAGGCAATCTTCTCAGCATCCAACCCCTTGCCCAGTATAGCAACCTTCTTCGCCTCGGTCTTCAAGGCCAACTCAAGACGTTGGACCTTCAGAGCCAGGTCGTCAGCAACTCGCCCCCGGCGATCCAACTCGGCCTGAAACTTGCCATTGGCTGTTTGGGCATCAGTGAGCGCCGTCAACGTCTCTTGGAGAGACTTCTCCTGCTCAGCCAGTTGCCGACGAAGCCCATCGGCCTCGCCGTTCGGCTCCATCACAATGCTTTGCGCCAAGGCCACAACACGCACTTGGAACTCACAGAAGAAGCTCCATTTATGAGCCGAGGTCATGCGACTCAAAACTCCTTGACCCGATTCGGAGGTCAAGTCTTGGCTCAGAAAATCCAGAGCGTTAACATTGTTAGCCAGGAAGCTTGGTCCAACCAAGCCTTGTGGAACAGTCGGATTGGCCAAGCATTGTTGCTTGGCCCGACGGCTCTCTTCCTCGGCCCTCGAGTCCTCGGGCCGTCTTTTTTCGCTTTGGGGCCGGGTGGCACCCTTGCCTCCCTTCCTTGGTTTGGCTGTTGGTCCCGCCCCACCACCTTGGGGAGCCGATTGATTCCCAGAGACGTGCACGCTGGCCGGGGGATTGTTCACTTAATTATCTAATATGAATATGATAATAAACTAGAAAAGAGAATATTAAAAGGTGGTTCTTTTATTCAGAATAATAGGAGTCATTTTAAAGGTAACAATTACACATTCATATTAAATTCATCATAAAGAGAAATAATTCAAAAATTGTAACTGCAATTGCAGTAAAGCAATAAACTTATTAATCAATTAAAACAAAGTTACAAAATATAAAATATCAACAGACCCTCCCTTAAACTGATGTTTGCTAACATTTAGTTTAAAGGCTTCACAGAATTTAGCTGCAGACCCCAAGAAACCTATCTTTGACAAAAATATTGGATCCAAGAAATCATGTTATGTTTTGAATTTGATATCCAAATTTGTTGTTGATGTAACAATCCCAAAAAGATTATGTTGTTAAGTTGGTTCGATAGGATCAAACCACTTATATTGCTCACTACATTGTAAGAGATCTCTTAATTGATATATTTGACGACACATTGAGTTATATTGTGTTGTAAGTTTTGTGTTATATATTATTATGTGACTGTTGTTGACAAGTTGTGTTATTTATATGTTGTGTTGACATCTTTCAAGATTTAAGTTGAGAGTTTTGTTGAATGTAGAGTTGTTGTGTTATTTCTATAATATGTTGATGGGCTGAATATGTGCTAAGTTGATATGATGGTAGGTTGTCTAGTAGTAATGCAATTTGAGTTGTTATGTTGTTCTATATATTGCTAAGTTGGCATTGAGCCATATTTATGTTGAATTGAGATTATGTTTTATTGTGTTAATATGATGATATTTCTAATATAATTGTATTTTATTTCTATATTATTGTTTTGCCTTTGTAAGCTTACCTTTGCAATTGTTGTTAGATTAAGAGGATTATATTTATAAGGGGGTATGACAAGATTAGGTTGGAGGATTTTTGTTGTTGGAATGTCATGTGGAGTGACACTTCTTTTGTTGGAGGCCACTTATTGTAGCTTGTATAGAATAGTTGTTTTCAGTTTAGATTATTGTATTTATATGTGGTGTACAATTTATAGTTATAGTCCCACTAAAAAAATTACATTTATGATTTTAGTTGATGAATTTAATACATACATATATATACACACGTGTGTATATATATATATATATATATTGCTACAGGTATATTTAGAGTTTGTTTGCATGATAACTTAAATAAATATAAATTATTGTTTTTTTTGTTACTTAAAATATTGAATTGTAAAGTATATGAAATTTCTTAATTGTTACATTTTTAGCTAAATAGATTTTAATAAAAGTCTTATAACATGATCTATTTTCTAAAAAAATGTGTTAGTTTGATTTAACCCATCATGTAAACTAGACAATAAAGTCCATGTTGAGTGGCCTCAGCTATTTTTCAACCCTAAGTAAATGTTTCATTTTAGTTCTTACTAATATGGACACAAGAAAAACATAAAATAAAAAAATATTGTCATTTTAATTCTTAAAAGTTTTAATTTTGATTTATGTTAACGTGGTCGCTACATGACAAGCTAGCAAGACATGACATGGCAGGCCATGTCAACGATGCTACTAATGCCTATTAATGGTTAGACTAATTAACTTAACTAACAAAACGCATATTTTGAGACTACTTTTGTAATTTCAATTCTTATAGGAGTTAACTTGTTAGAGTCTCACTTTAAAGAACTAAAATGAAGTTTCACTCATTAAACTCTAAAAAATAAGGGTATTTTAGTCATGAAAATATTTTGTTATACTAATTAAAATAATTAATATTTTCTTGGAATGTGTATATTATCATAAAATAATATAGGATAAAAGAGAAATATCTTGAAAATAATTTCAGGTGTAAATATGTTTTTAAGTCTCTATAAAATAAGTAATTTTGATTTTGGTTCCTGTATTTTTTTTTATTCTTCTAAAATTTGTAACATTAATTTTGATTCTTATAAAATATTTTTAATCTTCATAAAATAAGCAAATTTTGATTTTAGACCTTATAATATATGTTTCTTTTAATTTTTATCCTCTAAAATCTAAAATCTTTATTTTTGTTTATGACGATAATTTTAAAGTAAATAAATAACATTTATTTTAAGAATTTATAAAAAAAAAATTAGAAGTAACACATATTAACATAATATTATTAATTAATATAACACTTAAGATGATCACTTAATCTTTTAACAAATAAATGAGTAGCTAAAAAATTATGTAATAAACGGACCTAAAACAATAGATTTACATTTTATATCTTGCTTATTTTACATCAATTAAACACATTTAAAGTTAATTTGAAATAATTAATATAAAAATTATTTCAAATAGAAATGTAAAATAAAACTAAAAAATATTTTTTTAAATAAGAGTCTTAAATAGAATAAAATCACGATTCTTTAATAATTTGAAAGAAAATGTAATTAAACGTTTACATTTACTTCATAAATAATTAATTAAAGTAGTATGAACATAATTTTAAGTTCAATCATGTTATGTAATTTTTATAAATAAAAATAGTAAAAAAATTATATAACACGTGTAACTTAAGATAAGTAAGACAAAACCTTTTGGTATGTTTATTTGGGTGAAAAAAACATAAATTACAATATATATTTTTTCTTTTTATCCAAAAATGACTATTCTTTAATCCTTTATCAGATATAATCTGGCTCGAATCACTTTTTTTTTTTTCATTTAATCAGGGTTGTGGAAGGAAAAAAAATAATTTTATGAACAAAATTTCTTTTTATTATTTTTTCTATTTAATTTTTTTCTCTCTTTTCTTACTCTTCCATCGTAACAAATATGTTGGGATATAAAAAACGTTTCGTATCAATAAAATAAGAAAAATAATAATAATTTATAAAACATACACGTACTTTAATGATTAAAAAACTTTTAAGAAATAATAAAAAAAAATTGTAAAATTTATAAATAAAATAAATAATATCTCGTCATTATAAAATTATGTGTGAAATAATCTTATAAATATTAGCAACAAAATAACCCTAACAATACATTCTTTATAAAAACACATTTTGCTCGCAAGTTTTAGAAGTAAATATTTAAATCTGTCTCCATATAAGACATGATTGTAAAAGGAAAGACGAGTTGAGGAAAGACAACAAGCATGCCAATTTTTCTTTATTTATTTGGTTCAATTGGAGAATGAATATAAAAAATAAAATTAATTTATAAATTGACTAAAAATTTATAAATTAGCTAAAAATTTATAAGTTAGAAGTTAAAAAACAGAAAACTTATAATTTGACTGATTAAATTAAAAGTATTTGATAAAATTAATTAATAAATGAATTAATTAATATAAAATGACATATTTATTTATTTAATAATAGAAGTGAGAGAATAACATATAGAAAAAATAATTTATAAATTAAATAAAGGTAAAAATGGATTTTAAGTGAATTAACAAAGATAAAAAAGGAGAAAAAACAAAAATTAAGAGCTTAAAATGTATAAACTATTTCAATTAATTTATAAAAAAATTATAATTTCTTAAAATAAATTCTTGTATTAAATAAAATTATTTTGATGAAATTAATTTATAAACGAGTAAAAAAACTTAGAAACCCATTAAGAGACTTCTAGCTTTGGAAAACTTGATAGATACACGAGACTTCAATTTTATCTCATTGCGCGAATCATACACACACAAAAAGACGACAATGAACTTATTTCCTCTAAATTAAACTCCTATGTCCAATAATTTTTTTTTATAAAAAAAATATTGGTTAAAAATAAAATAACTATTTATTATATAACCATTTAAACTATTTAATGTTTAACCCCAAGCGTGTGGTTCAGCGGTAGGGGTTGATCCACGCTTAAGCAAGGTCAGAGGTTCGAATCCTGCCTTGTGTATGCAGCCGCGTTAAATCTTAGGGCCAGCTATCCCACTCTTTGAAGGTGCCTCCAACGTAGCGAGGAGATTAGTCACTGCTGTCGGTGGATACTTCAGGAACGAACCTAAAAAAAAAAAAAAACCATTTAATGTTTCTATAGTATTTAATAAAACACTTAATATTTATTTATTTTTCTATAGTATTTAATAAGAAAGCAACAGGGTAGGTTTAGTGTCACGTTTAGTATATAGAATCTTGAATAAAATTCTTTAGAAAGAGATACCTGAAAAGAGAAACGATTTATATAAATGAGGTAACAGTGACAGTGACATTGAACCTTCAACAAATACAGAAGTAGATCATAAACTTGTTCGGAGTTAAAGTTTACTAATAGTCATATTTTCCCAAATGAAGCCAATTTTGGTGTTACATAGTCAAAGTGAGGAAAAAGGTGGTAGAGAATATTTTGAAGAATATAAATGCGTTGTTATGCATGGCGTACATGTGTGCGGTATATATACGGTTGGCTAAATTATCATTGGAACAGCACACCTCGTTCCGTGACTTCACAGGTTGAAACTAGAGACACCGTTTTATGGTATGTTTTCTTCTCTCTTTCTCATTCTTAACAACAATAACTATCTCTTTCTCTAGTGCTTTCCTTCTTATTCTTTGCATCCATATCTCATACACCACATCACGTGCCATCACTGAACAACTACAACACCACAACCTTAGCCTCCCCGATTTCACTTCTTTCTATCTCTATCTCTCACTTTATAGCTATTTCGCATCCCAAGGCTTTTGAAGATTCCATTTCACACCAAAGCACAGATACTGTCCCAATGAGTTTTTATTAGCCTTCAGGAGGTGGCACCCTTCTGCTTTATGAAGTTTGTTCTTTATGAATCCAATGCTTGCAATTCTCGCCGCAATTTGCGTGGGGCGGTCTCTCTTTGAGTCTGCTTTAGAATCCCGAGGGGCCATTAGTGTGTGTTTCTCTTTTAACTCGTCTTAGTTACAATCATTGATGTCTTCTGTTCATTTTGTCATTTTGTTTCTGAGTGGACACCATTCAATTGAATTCCCAGTACATTTCACAATAGAGTGTTGCGTTGTTGTGCATTTTTTCTTTTTGGTAAACCAAAATATCGGGTATACCTAAAGTTACACACATACCAAGATCGAATATCTAATTACATATTTAAGGGACAATGTTATCTATCAATGGTTTTGTAGTATCTAAGAGGGTTTTAGAGTCGAATTGAATTGGAATTTGTTGGTGGGGTGTTGATGAGGGTTGGTTATTGAGTTTTCCTAGATGAATATTTGGCACATTTAATTGCTTGTCTGATTATTGATCTTCAACTGTGTGTAGGTGTATTTTTGGGAGAGGAAAATATTGGTGTGGCTCTGAGGAGGAGAATATATAACTCTGGCCAACTCTCTAGAGATATCTTCACAAACCGGAAGAGGCTTTGGTCTTTTGATTTCCGGTTTTCAGATTTGTTTAGAGAGGATCTTATCTCTTGTCCTGCGCCTTCCCATTGATTATGGCTAAGATCTGATTCAATGTGATAGCTGCTGAACTACTAGTGTTTGTATTGTTGTACTCCCACTTTCCAGCGCAATAGATTGCGAAAGAAAAAAAATTGTTGGATTTATGTTCAATGCTGTTTAGGATTGCTTAGAATCTAAAGTAGCAAAGATTAAATTCAGAGGATTTGGAACAGTCTTCATCTTTTGAGATGGCCATGGTTAATTGCTTCTCTCGTTTTCCTGTGAGGAAGGAGAAACACAAGGTAAAAGTCAATTGGGTATTGTGTTTCTTATTTTGTTTTCTGGGGTTCCTACAAAGCTTTTGATTAACCTAGTTTATTCTAACTCTTGTTTGTTTCTTCAGGGGAATGAAAGGTCTTCAAAAGAGGGCTTTCACACTCTACTTGCCAAACTACAACTACAATCTTCAACAATAACATCACGGCCAACCGCTTTTGATGTTACAGCACCCAAAGGTATTCAGAAAAATTCAACGTTCAATGTGAGGGTTACGAGTCTTGAGAGTACTGTGAAGGCTGAAGCACATAAAAGGGAAGATGAGGATGGAGATTCACCATTGATCAAGAGGGAACTCTCTGATTTTGATCTCCAAAATCAAGAAGCTGTTGCAAGCAAAGAAGGATATGATGCAACGGATAAAGAGAAAGAGTATCCCAATTTATATGAAAACCAAGTCAACAATGAATTGGAAGACAAAGACGATAGATACAGTCAAAAGAGTGTTGATACAACCAAAAGTGGGCATATCAGTGATCCTGGTTTTGGCAAAGCTGATGTCATGGCTTCTCCAAAGTTCAAGAGATACTTCTCTAACCTTGAAAAATTTGATGGGTATGGGCAGATAACTGCTCCTCGCTTGACTTCGATGTCAAAGTTTTCTAAGGATTTTCAAGAATTATCAGCAAAGGTTAATCTTGAAAGCCCCAGGTCTGTGATGAGTCACAACAGTGCTGATAGGGTGATGTTGAAAAGGCATTCTTCGAGTCAGGTAATCGCTTCTGGAAGTAAAAAAATGTGGTGGAAGATGATCCTGTGGAGCCACAGGAACATACGTAGAACTAGCAATTCAACACTAGTTCCTGCTAGTGCTGCTTTAAATAGTGGCTACTCTTCAGACACCCTTGAACCAAAACAAGACAAGGCATTGAGGACTGTGGAATCTTCTCAATCAATTACTATGGAATCCTTTAACAAAAGCAGCATTGGCAAAAATATTGATAACCAAAGGGGAAGCAGGTTTCATCAAAGTGACCAATGCATTGCTTTCTCAACAGAATCATCCTCTTTTGCCAGAGTGGATGCATGGGTGAAAGGTCTTGAAACTCAGCAACCATTTCTTGAGGATGATTTTGATGATGAAAACACCAGAAGCATTGTCTTCCCACCTTCTCCTGACGCTGGTGGATCAATGATGAGAACCTCATCTCAGTTGTCTTATCCAGATGCCAATCTTTCGAAAGAGGCTTCAAATGCCATCAGTGTAGTCCAGTCTCTAAATCCAGCTTCAACTATTGCTCACATATCTGGTATTGGTATCAAAGCTATCCCTGCTATTTCACACTTATCCAATCTCCGCGCTGTCAACTTGTCAAACAATTTCATAGGTACATCTTTGGAACTATAATGTAGTCCTTGATGCAACACCAATTAATCAGTGACTATATTATTATTGACTCATTTCTTCATTATTGATCGGCAGTTCACATCTCGCCAGGATTTCTACCAAAGGGTATTCAAACACTTAACTTGTCAAGAAACAAGATCAGCACCCTGGAGGGCCTAAGGGAATTGACCAAGTTGCGGGTACTTGACCTAAGTTACAACCGCATCTCAAGAATTGGACAAGGTTAGTTTTGACATATGTTGATGCTCAAAGGATGTTTGCATCTCAAATTTGTTTAACCTTCCTTTTTAAGTATTTTTCTTCATTGCAATTATTCATTCATTGTGTATGGTTTATTTATCAGCGTTATCAAGTTGTACACTTATCAAAGAGCTATATCTTGTGGGGAACAAGATAAGTGATGTTGAGGGGCTACCAAGGCTATTGAAGCTAACAGTTCTAGACATGAGCTTCAACAAGATCACAACAACAAAAGCATTAGGCCAGCTAGTGGCTAACTACAACTCACTTCAGGCCCTTAATCTATTAGGAAACCCGATCCAAAGCAACATCAGTGATGATCAGCTGAACAAAGCAGTCTGTGGTCTTCTTCCAAAGCTGGTGTACCTGAACAAGCAACCCCTCAAGGCTCATAGGACACGCGAAATATTCAGTGATAGTCTTGCCAGAGCTGCCCTAGGGAACAGCACGCGGAGCTTCAATAGAAGATCACCAAGAAGAGTTGGCCATGGAGGATCAAGTCAATTCAGAGGACTTAGAAGAAATGTTTCCCAGATAAGCAGGAACCGGACAAGGAGGTGAAATAAAAGTACCTCTTAAAGGAACGACTCGATGGAAGACTTCTCATTTGGTTCTTCACAATTGCATTGTTCCTTATTTATACCAGAGGAAACTGTTTGCTAGGTGTTGCTGTCTCTTGATTTGTTTGTTAAATTTATAAAACCATCCATATACTTTCATTTAATAGCTTAAACTTTTAGAATAATTGGTTCGTGATATACTGATACATTATCAAAGTCCTCATAACCATGTAGTCGCTTCAATGCCAAAAGGCTCTAGCATGAGGCTGTGTTAGAATTGGAAGTCATTATTTGCTTTCATCCTACAGGTTGAACTGTTGGAATGTTTGATTCGTGACACTGAATGATGAAGTAATGGGATATAGAACTTGATATGATCACCTGAATTTCAGAAATTCTATGAACATTATGCTAATTCAATAGTTGGCCTGTCAGATTGATATCAATTATTACTTTTAAATTATCTGAATAACGAGGCACGTGATCAATTCAAAGGTGGCATCATGAAGTTCACCTCAGATGCTTAAAAGCATCCGATATCTGAAGACCACAAAAATCCACAACGTACAGTATGTCAAAAGGTGTACAATTTTCATCTAATTCATTAATCAGTCTATTATTATTCTTTTCTATAAATATCAACCAATTAAAATACTATGTTTTAGCTTATAAATGATTCCAGCATAACCCGGTGTGTGCACTCCTTTGAATGATCATATTTCAATTGTACTCTTAAAGATTTAAAGTAGATTCGTAATTTTCACGGCTGCTAGTAAATGGAATTCTTCCATCTTGCCGAAGAATTTCAACATGCAATAACATTGCAGTAAGCTTTCTTTCAACAGAACAATGTATAAAAGACTATTAAACAGCACAAATAGTTATAAATAAAAGTAGATGTGTGTGCAACAAAAAGACTAGAAAAAAAATATCCGACCTGCCGGATTCGAACCAGCGACCTAAGGATGGCTATAAGGTGATTATTACCCACTACAGTCCTCCGCTCTACCAACTGAGCTAAGGTCGGTTTGCTGAGAAACTCAACCACTTTATATAAATATATTAATAAATTTTGATGAATCAATGAAATAATCTAGTACGCCATTTGTTACATCAATTGAAGTAAAAGGTCTTGTCATGTCAATAACAAAATTGACAAGATTTTTCTCTTTAATTTTTTGGGTTGTATTATTCAAACGCATATAGAAAGAAAAAAAGATAAAATGTAAACAAGAAATAGAAATTGTATATATGATATATTATATACAATGTTAACTTTTTTATATATAAATAATAGATTTAATATATCTATATGCCTTATGTCCTGAACTTAGAAAAATTTTGATTAAGTATGAGATAAACAATTTATAATCGGATAATTGTTCTTCTACAAAATTTATAATCCTAAAATTTAAAACTATAAAAAAAATGTGGCGGTTCCAGTAACTTCGTAATCAAACTACAAAAATTGTACAACATTAATAACTCAATTACAATTTTTTTAGTTTAAGAATTTAATTAAAAGTTTAAAGAAAGTTCATAAATTACGTAAATCTCAATTAGTTAAGAAACTATGTCATTTCATTTTCCCGTTACATAAGATCGTAATTCATATGTGGTGTGCTGTCCTTCTCATTATTATAAGATAATATATTTTAATTGTTTCGAAGGAAAAATCTAAGACATAAAAAATGACGAACTTGTTTATTATAATGAAAATAGATCGATTCTTTTTTACTTTAATGATTAAATTAGAAGTAAAAAAAATTGTAACAAAAATGTAGACGTAACGATAAATGCCCCCAAAAAATTGAAATTCATATTGAAATTAAAAAGTAATTTGATAAGGATATTTTTCACTTAATTATTGTATACAAAACTTCACAAATAACGGTAAAACAAATGGGAAACTATGCACTGTTTATTTTTTATTTTTCAAAAAAGTTGCTGTATGTTTTCACATTAGTTTGAACTATTCTTTTTTGTAATTGTAGTTTACAAAATTTTGAATACGAGAATATAAAATGTAAAATTTTCTTTTCAGATGAAACTAATATGTATTCGGACACTTCCTTACCATTTATATTTAGTGATTTATTTCACACGTTCAGCACAGTTTTATTTTTCAGAAATTATTTGACATAATAGTTTAAAATTACATCTAAAACCGTGATTATAACAACTTATAATATAATACTTCCAGTCTAATTCTGCACTAAAAGGAAAAAAGATTTATTATTTCCAAAATTATGCAAAAACATGTTCAGGACTCTCATTTATCTTATTTAAATTCATAGAAAATTTGCATATTTATATTAGAATTCTCACATCAACTAAGAAGGTGATCATATTGGTATATATAAATTAGAAAACAATTTTCATCTTATAAGACAGTTTTGTAAAATTGAATTATACCTAAAATTCACATTTTAAGAGTTTGAAAGAATTATTATTATTATTATTATTTATGTTTTTAATCTAAAAAACAATATTTATTTTCAATAAAAAAAATTAAAAATCCTTCTAAGCTTAATTCCCTTAATTCCAAACAGACTCAGAACAGTAAAAAAAATGGAACATAGCTGCCGTTTTAGCATGAAACGTGCTCCTGCTGATTCCAATTTACCAGTGACTACATCCAACCAGAAGTGTCACAATCTTCAATGGACTGATGAACAATATGATTTTGATTTCACAATATGAACATTGACAAATTATACAGAAGAGTTTTGCCAAGTTTATACAAGAGAAGAGACATCCAAGAACCTATAAACATTGTAAAAGTACTTTAACGAATTCAATACACAAATGAAGAAGGAAAAGTTTATTGCTTACTAAAAGTACTATTGAATTCTCTCAACTGAAATCCAAACATGCACCGAGCATTTTACAACAATAACTTATTCTATCATCATGTTTCCAATAATCCAATCTTAATATTGTTTCTGTATAACTCTAATCAGACATCACATGGAAAAGTAAACCTACCAGTATACTACTTTCTCATCTGCTCTGTGGCTTGTTTGGTAATTACATGGCCCTATGTACACCTTACGGTTACATAGATGATGTGGTGGTATCATTGACAAGGATACACTGTTTCCTCTATATATTGTTTCTTTTTATCTCCAAAATTTTCAACCCCCACTTTGTATATAAATGAACATTATGGAAATGAATACATGTATATAAAAGTCTAATTTCTTCAGGCCTTCAACTAATTAGCTTGCCTGTCTCTTAAAGAAAGGTTTCTGGCAGATCAAGAGTCTCTGATCACTGTCACTTTCAATTTCTATCACTCTTGCATCCCACTTCAGTTGTGCTGTTAGAGCTCTAACTGACTCTATCAAGGGAAGCGTATCGCGAATTATAACCCAACCCTGCACGTATGACCAATGTCAGCATGTCAGAAGTCCTTGAACATGTAAAGGGGATGAAACATTTTGAGACATTTTTACTTATTTTTCTATAAAAAATCTAGCATGAAAATAGAAGGATGCATAATTCATACACATTTTACATATCAAACTGCATAAGATATTACTGCACTGTTTAATGAGCAAATACTATAGCAGTTGTGGTTCAATAGTGTTAAATTCACAAACCTCTGGGCGAAGTATCCTGTCAATTTCAATGAACAGATCAAGTATGGTGCATCTGTGCTGCTCAGTTTCAAGCGATAGAAGTCCTGCTGCATGCACCAAGTCATAGGTTCTAGGGTACGTTGGAAAAGCCTCGCACCTAGAAGCCACCAAAAAACATAATTGTTAAGGAAACTATAATCTATGTAGGACCTAGCAACTAACTATTCTTTCACAAAATCTTATCAAGACTAAAAACCATGTGATTCGAAAAGTAAATGGTAAATAAAACATGTTTTAATTTTTTAGTCAACTATCATAAACAAACAGTGACTCATTCTTGAGAAATCGATAAGGTTTCATTTCATATAACTCGATAATTTTAGAGCCTGAGTTCACAGGGAAATCCGTAAATTACGTTGTGAAACTTTACATGTATAAGCTCCAAGCTCTGGTATTTATAAATTTCTTACAACTTTATCACAATATATTTCTGTAAAAAAAATGTTGATGTCTGCATCCTTATAAATCTACAAAAACCCAAAAATTGAGTGTTTACAAAGTGTGAATGTTACAACATGGTATAAACCTCCAATAAAAAATAGTTGGACTTAGAACAATGTTGAGAATATGCCTAAATATCTTTAGTTTAAAAAAAATGATAAATTAGTTTTGTTAGAAATCAGTTATTTATGTTTCAAATGTTTAAATTTAATTTTCTTTGATTATATTAGGATTTGTTTTTTCATTTTTAGAATAGGATAATATCAATATTTGATTCTTATGTTATAATTTTTTTCTCTATATATAGAGAGCTGATGAATAAAAATAAATCATGCACCTCTTGACAAACATATATTCACAAAATACAAAATAACCCATCAATCAAGAAATCAATGCTAAGATTTTAAAAGGGGAAACAAATACTGATAATTCTATGTATATACTGTTTAGAAGGGACAAAGATCCAAAAAATGGAAGGAAGAAAGAATTTAGCATGTGATTGAGAATCCATGTTAGGCTAAGCAAAACAAAGTTATTGAAGCAGAGAATCATGACATTTAAAATAAGAACAAGAGAAAGGAGATGAAAATACCAATCATGCAAAACGCCAACAAAACCTCTGTCCTGGATCAAGGGAAGATAATTGGGTCCACTTATTGGGACCACATTCATCACCCACACAGACTTTCTAGCTTGCAACAATGCAGAATTAAAGCCACCAAGATGAGCATTCATGTCTAGCACATTTCTGAACATGTTGTAAGGTGGTGAAGGGTCCTCATCTCCGGGCCTCTTTGGATGATCAGAAAATATTAAAGGTGACAGGAGTGACCAATAATTCTGGACTGCTGTTCTCCAGCTGTCAGAGTCCTCAGTAAATTCATCAGGCTGCAACCCTGGTACACTCAAATGTAGGCATACTATGTTAACCAAATGAATAAGAGATATGATTCAGTATGACAGTGCAATTACAATGCAATCATTTCCACAAAGAGCTCTATAAATCAGTGTTGAAGAACATAACAATTACCATAGATTGCCAACTCGTTCTTGTTCAAGTTAGCCCGGGAAGGCCATCTTTCCCTTTTATCAATTGGAACCCAACGACGGCTCTGTATTCCTCCTATGCAGTTTTGTAGTTCTCGATAATATGGAGACTCCACATCAATACCTCTACCACACAGAGAAGGGCCAGAACGAGTCTTTCTGGTATAAAAATAGGCCATGCCAAGAATCAGTCCACATTAATTTTAAAATGCTAAACTAATGTATATACATGGTATAGAATCTAGAAATATGTTTTTCCTGAGACATACAAAAGTGAAATAATCTTTCACAAGTACATGTGTGGAAGCATTACCTTGAAGCATAACAACTTTTTTTACTAGTTTTCTTCCATACAACAGTTTCATCTTGCTGCGACAACATTTCCCAGCACAGATTCAATGTAAAGTCCTGTATAAACCTCCACCTTTTCTGATTCTCTTTGTTACGAGCATTTGTGAGTGGTGATGTCCAGACAAAGTATCCACCCGGTTTTAAGAGTCTATCAGCTTCAATCAAGAAAATGCCATCTATACCATGTAATATGAATGTTAATAAATAACAGGGTGCTAAAATATTAATAAAAATTATGCATAAATCAAAGTTATGGTTCTGAAGTGAGATCAAATTTTTCGAATTTATGTTCAAACATAAAGGGGAGAGGGGTAAATGAACAGAATATAGGCAGGTTGAAGGATTGGATTCAATGCCTTCACACAGATGTCAGAAGGAAGAGTTTCAAAAGTTAACCCCACTTTGTTGGATACTTGACCAAGTATGGAAAATAAACATTAAAAAGTATCTACTTATTTTAATATATTCTGACTTTGGGAAACTCCATGTAACAAAGAACTTAATATGGATATTGTTCCGAAAGTATACACCATATAATTTTTCTATTCTGAACTGCAAAAATAGTTTTGTTACATCAGAAACAAATAAGAAATGTACCCAATGACTTGTAAGCATTACATATTGAAGCTTTTTAGTTCAAGAATATATGGTTAGAAACACACTTTTCTCATCAGAATGGAAAAGAGCTAGATATTTAGCTTAGTTGAAATGACCAGAAACAAAATACAAGCTTGTCAACCAGCATTATTTTTCCTTGGTCACAAAATAGTGTTGAATATCTAAGTTCAACAGGGAAAAGTTACAAACAGATGTAGCCACATCACAAAGCTAAGGTGTCTTCAATAATGGATAGTTACAATCATAAAAAAAAATCATTTTTTGTTATCAAATTAGGAAAAGACAATGTATTATTTAAACTTGTAAATACCAGAGGTACATGCATGATGCATGGCATATAAAAAACCAAAGCATTGAAGAACCAAGGAGTATTCTATTCTTATTTTATGGCAACTAACTTCTTCCAATGACATATAATGTATGATGTATCATATAAAGAGTCCAGAAAATAAATGTTTTTGTCGAACTAGTACAGAATATGATAGATGCATGTTGGTCCAACACAAAGTAGCATAGATTGAAAGTTGAAAGATACCTTTCTGATCCCAATCAATGCCACATCTTGCACAATGTAACATATCAAAGGATAGCGATGGATATGGCAACTGCTTTGAAGTGAAAGAGGCAATCATAGCTGGAAGACCTCTCTCGAGACTGAGCTGAACTTGACTGCCAGAAGGCTCATAATTTGCAATGCACATAGTTAAAAGCTGACTGTCAAAGAGATGTGCTCCAAAACTACCATAACCACAACCTATGTCTAGTATAGTTCGAACCTGCAAATTTTAGGATGTTAATATTCTCAATCAAATAAGATTTTTGGCAAGGAAAACTACTGTCAGACTTCAGAAGCCATTTCAGATCCAATTCCATGACAACTCAAAAAAAAATCAAATACAAGTCCATCCAAGGCACTCCATAACAAACAAATTTAGACAATACAAGTTTAGAACAGTTATGACATGTACAAGATTACCATTTTTAGAATATTCATTTGATCATTATAGTTAATATTAATATATTTTTAGTACTAGAATTGAGATACCAACTTCTTCACAGTAAAACAGATGGCGTTAAGAATGCTGAATTTGACAGTAAGCATGTATCAAATTAGTAAAATACAAGTATAATGAATAAGGTCCATCATGAAAAATCATGCAATAAGCACATTATGTGCCAATTTCAAGAGAGAGCACTAATGTATTTACCCCAGCTTGAATGAATGAAGATTCATTTCTAAGTCCAATCATTTCAGCAATTTGATGTGAGTAGTCTTCAACACCATCAAACATATGAGAGGCAGAACGAAATGAAATTTGCTCTTCATCCAGCATCATCATCCTGTAATTAAATCAGAATAGAAAACTTTAGGAATCAAAAATAGCCAAAAGGGTGACAGCAAGTAGGAGAAACGTTTTCATATGCCACTTACCTCTTTGTCAAGCTTCCAGAAGAAAGAACCTCCTGTGCAGTGATCTTCACATTCGCAATCCAGATAACATCTTTTCCAGTAGGCCACCTAAAGGGAATTTTATAATTCAGTGGCGGCAGAACTAAACAATTCTGCCTAGGCTCATGGCCGCATTGTCGGTCAAATTCATTGACATCAGAAACTCCCAATTCAACATTCTCAGAAACATTATAGCAAGGAACAAAGTTTTCAAATTCCTGAGAACAGAACTCCGATTCCTTCAACCTCAATGGACCGCGAGAAAACTCACCAATATCCAAAAGGTCAGAAACAAGCTTCTCTTGAAGTCTTCTATAACCATGGTAAATGTGACCTCTTGATGAGGATGAAATCGATAAGGTCCACCAAAAAGATCCAGTAAGAGCCAGAACAACTATAAACACTAAACTAAACTTCAAAGAAAGCAACATCAACTTGAGCCGGCTTCGTGGGGTGCCAACACTGAAGGGATCAGAAGCAAAACCATTCTCAACTATGCCATTCCCATATTTTGAATCAGAATTATTTCCCAAAATCAATCTCAAAGGAAACCTCAAAGCAAAAGGGCTATGATCTGAAGAACCCCTCTTATCCAAATCTTCCTTTTCTGTTTTATCCTTAGATTGGGAGTCCCACAAGTCATGGCCACTCTCAGGGACCCTAACCCCACCAGACACACCCCTTTGCAGAGGCCTAGACATTCTCTCACCAACCACCACAGTTGCACTAACAAGTTCAACTATGAATAAATGTTCTTATGTTAACACTTAAATAATATATGAACCGACCCTGAAATCAATACAACAACAAAAACAAAAGCCTTACTTCACTAAGCAAAGTCAGCTACTCGGATCACACAAAACCATTCAGCTCGATTAAAAACCAAATCTTGAGAGAACCCAGAAACCAATAAAAGAGTGTTTTTTATTCCAGCATCATTAGATTTATTAGGATGAAATCATCTTCAGAATCTGGCTCCAGTTAAGCAAAGCAAACCTACAAAAAAAAACAAAAAAAGGAGATACCGCGTCAAACATGATGGCTGCATTTAGAACAGTGATGTTAAGCCAATTCAGCATATTATATGATAATAAATTAAAAAAGAAAAAGAAAAGGAAAAAAAGAGAAAAAAAATACTAAATTTCTCTCTTTCAGAGAATCAAAAACAGGGGAATAACGACAAGGGAGAGCAGTAATTAATTCACCGCATCAGATCCATCACGGACCCAGCATTGAAATGGATACGTAGCACCATTCACATAAGAAAAAAGAAAACTTGAGTGGTAATTGCTACATGGGTTGGTGGGTAACACTAAAACAGAGGAGTGAAAACTGAAAACCACTAGCACCAGCTAGTATTAGTAACCACTGAGCTCATTTTGTTTGAGAAGGGAAACTGAAACTCATTTGCTGTGAGATCAAACTAGATTAAAAGAAAACGAAGAATTTAAAAAGAAAAATAGTGGCAGCACCTTGTGTTGATTTGGAATTGGAGTGAAGAAGAAGAAAGTGTGGAAGTAATTTATTGAGGGTTGGTTTGCTTGCAACACAAATCACAAGAAGAGCGCACGCTGTCTGTGCTTGGTTTTGGTTTCTGTGTGATTGATTCTTCTCTCTCACTCACTCGCTCCGTCGAATGATTATCATGCTTTGGAAATTAGAGAGAGAAGTGAGACAGTGATTTCTAACACAGTGTGGAAGCAGGTTTTGTATTGATCCGATCGTGACACGAACACTGCTCATGAGACAATATATAAGTAATTTAAGAGAAATACACTGAGTGTCACAGTTCACCAAAACCCGAAACTACTAAAAGTAATATTTTTCTAAATTTATAGAATTTCATAGGGAAAACTTGCTAATAATATAGTACATTTCAATTGAAATTTATTAAGATTCGCGAAATTGTGTGGAATTTATTGTTCTTTTAATTAATTTTATTTATAAAATAAATTATAGTTAACAAAAAGGTAAATAAAAGACTGATGTAGTATTATTATTTAGTTTTTGAAAATACTGATCAATATCGTTAGATATTACTAATGAAATCAAAAGTGAAAAATAAAATTTATTGAAAATCTTTTCACTTTTAATTCTCCTTAACCAGTAACCTAAAAGTACTTATTTATTAGTAATAACTAATAAGAGCCAAGAAGATATTTATTTACTGTTTAATTTTAAGAATAGTTTATTAAATTCTGGAAAACAAAAAAGTGGGTGCTTTTCTGATCTTCTTAAAACTATTTTTAGAGACAATTTTATTTAAAACATAGTTGAATAATGTGACATTTTACACATAAAAAATAATCATTTAATATAAATCACAATAAAATAAAATAAAAAAAGATTAGGCATCTTTCAAAATTATTTATTTAATAAAAAATATTATTTTCATTTTTTGTGTATTATTAAAACAATTTTTTGTATTTATTTTTATTTAAAATTTAACAATTTTGTTTATTCTTATTCTCATTTAAATTTTTGTTACGCATATATTAACAAATACATTTAAACTTTTATAAGTTAATTTACTATATTAAATTTAAATATGTAATTATATTAAATATTTAGGAGGAGATATTTGTTTGCATCTACAATAACTTCTTTTTGTTCTAGTATGATTCTCTTCTATAAAAATAGTATCATCTTTTTAAAGTTTGAAACCTGTACATTAACATTTTGTATATGTATAATTGAACTTAACAAGAATATATTTATGTTTAAGTTTGATCTTAATTAATATCTGTGTAAGTTATTACGAGAAAATAATGTTTTTATTGGAGTTTTATAGTTACACAATAGCGGTATAAAGTATTCTTCTTCGATTAATTATAATTCATTGATGATATAATATTTTGGGGTATGTTTGATTTTCTGTTTTAAAACATTAAAATGTGTGTTTTTTTCTTTATAATACATGAAATTTAAAAATAACAAAATTATTACTTTGAAGTAAAAGTTGAACTCAATTTTTATCCGAACACACTTAGTTGTTTATTATAAAAATTAACAAATTTATTATAAATTATAGTTTGTGATTAAATAATAATTTTATGTAAAATTATTTTATATTTTCAGTGCATAGTTTATTTTCTATTTTAATTATAATAAACAATTAAATAATATAAAATGAAACATTCTCATTATTTTTTATTTGAGTAAAAAATGACTTAATTTCTTGTAAGGATAGCTATTAAGAAATTAAAATAAAAAACATTCAATAAAATAACAACTTTGTTTTTTTAGTTTTACCATTCCTTTTGTAAAAAAAATTGCTAATAACTGATAGTCTCGGTAATAAACTTGTGAATCGAGTTGACGAGAGAAAAGTGTTGAAATAGTATATATAATATTTTAAATTTGAATGATATTGCTATATATTTGCAATCTTTACCACCAATAAAAGATATAATACTATAGTACACTTAGTTTTTTAATTAATAATTAATGCATCATGAATGTCAATGTATACTTATATTAAATTCTTCAGTCAAAATGAAATGAAATTCATTAAATGAAATTCCATAGTGGTGATGTTCAAAGTGCATGCAAGAGAGTACCAGAAATAGTAGCAATAGTTTCTACTCAAGAAGAAACGTAATAAACTGCAACTATTATTATTAAAAACTAATAAATGAACGCGCTTAACTCCGCTGGCAGAGTTGCACTTCCATAACGCGCTTTTATTTTTGTTTACTGAATTTTAATTCTCTGAGCCAGAATATGAATCATGGTTCATGTACAGAACAAATCAATAGGATAAAAAGGTACATTAGAAGGCACCCAATTAGATCTTCAGCAAGAAAAAAAGTTGCCAACTAATATTGTTCCTATGGAATTAATGGAATGTATATAAATTGATCAAAATGCCACATGCACCCTTTTCTTAGTTTTTGCTTTTGTAAGGTGTAAACGCCAGCTGGTCAAGCTAATCATGCTTTAAAAAGAAAAGGAAAAGTGGAAAAAGAATTTAACAATTTTTTTAGATGTATAGTTATTTAGATACTTTATATTTTTAATTAACATTAAAGTTTAGTTTAATAATAAAAACAGTTTATATTTCAACAATGTGAATATTTTTTAATTTGACTGTTACACAGAACTATTCAAAATAGTTTATAGTGATTATATAGATTAGTGTGTTGACCCTTAATTTAATGTTTTTGGAAATGAACTCTTTACTAATTTTGTTGACCCTTTAATGTAAATTATTATGATGGGAGTTTAATTATGATTAAAGAATAAGAAGGAAAACATTTAACGAACTGTATTTAGTTTTTGTTTCATTTCTAGCAGAAGGAGAAGTAGAAACCAAGGGGACAACAAAGTCATAGGATTCTTTGTTTTCTGCTTCGTTAGTGGTAATGTAATGTATCATTTGACTTGAGGCTTAAATGAGGGAAATTAAACGACCGACACATTATTTTATTAGTATATATATAAGTTTAATAAATGAAAGAGGGGTGCACGATCACGTCCAAATTCACATTCAGATTCACGATTGCATTTGCATGAGGTCACGTTGGCTTTGGCTTTGGTCGTTAAATAATTTGGTGTGCGTACAATTGTGGAGCTTTGGCACAAACGCACATTACTTTGTAGTGGGTTAGGAACATTGCACGTTTTCATTTGCTGCTCTGAATTTTAGGTGAAAATAAATTCACTAAGCTATAGGCAGAAATAAAAATGATTAAATTAATATTAGCTTTTTTTAATGATTAAACATTTCTCAAATGTGAAGCGATTGAAATAATATGCATACGATCCTGTATTTTAATTATTTTTTATTGTTATTGAAATTTTTATTAATAAAAAAATGTTTGTAAAATATTTAAAAATTGAATTACTGGTGGCCTACTTTAAAATTAAGTTTCTCCTCTAAGCTAGATTAAAAAAATTTAAGAGAATTATATAGATCTAACTTAAAAGTCTTTATAGAAAATTATTTATTTCATTGGTTTAAATTAAAATATAAATATAATTAAATTTAAAATAGTTTGAATTTTTTTGTTTTTCAATTAAACTATTTTAAATTCAATAACTTGATTCAAATGATAAATATATTTATATATTTTTGGTTAATAAACTAAACCAAACATCATATCTTATATATATTTAGAAAAAAAGACACTTTGTATCGGTCAAGCATCAAGCGAACAAAGTCCTTACTTTATACTCCTTCAAAAATAATTTATTTTAGAATAATATTTATATAATTCTTTTTGTGGCTCATAATTTAAAAAAAAAAGTCACTTTTTGTATTCTTAAATTTTCATTTTAAAAGGACTATTTTTAAAATATATGCAAATATATATAAAAGGCCTATTTAAAATATTTTATTTTTATTTTTATTTTTATAATAAAAATTATTATTATTAATTTTAAAAAAGTCTTATTTTAAGATTTATTTTAAGAAGTATCACTATATATTTATCTAAAAGTAAAAAATAGAAATAATAGAAGTTATATAATGGTAGTTGATTTGTAATTTAGAGAATGAATGGTTTGAAAGTAGTTATAAAACCACAGTGATTCTAAAAAAGTCAATGCTGAAAATTACAAAATTAATATTTTTTTTTATATAATAGTATAGAAGAATAAATATAAATCAGAACAACTAGATTGAATGAGAACGTTTTATGGATGTTTTCTTCAATAAGAGTACTTTAAATTATTTTTAAAAATTTATATCATTTAATTTATTTTTTTAATCTTTGTTTTAATTGATTTTCGTTATTTTTAAAATTATCAATAATTTAAATAACCTTATTTATATTATAAAAATTATTTATTATAAATATAAAATATAATATAAATATAAAAATATTTTTTAATATAAATTTTAGTTATATAGAATAAATATTTTTCTTATGGATTGGATTGAAAAATTAAAATATTAAAAAAAATAGTAACCAAAAGTAAAGAAATTAACATGAGAAGTTAACCACCTCAACCCTCTTCAAACCATTCCCATCCCTTTGCATGATGCATGTACGTGCAGTCTACAGACAATAGGTATGGTAATTTGTTGAAACTTATGCTTTCAGTCAGAAGCATTTAAAAGGAAAGTGACGCCCATGATCTCAAATTGTAACAGGCCTAAGCTATAGCTTTCTCTTTTTTTACAATCTTTGTGTTCGATGTGTTGTGTTGCCTCATTTTGGTAGGCTTCTTTAGGTATAATGAAATAAATATTGGAATGATCCATGGATGTGTGTGTTCATCCAATAATTCAATGCAATATATATCGAGTAATTAATTATATTTCAACACCAATCTAATTTGACATTAACAAATTTGTAGTGCGCAATAATTGAGCCCTTTAAATTATTTTCTTTCGTTTTATTTGATTTTGGGTGAAGGTCATTCATGTATGCTCAAGGAGTGGGTCATATGCACTGATACAGTCATTATCTGTAGCCATCATCTTTTCAAAATTGTAGGATACAAGGAAAGATCATTAAGCGTCAAAATTAAACAAAGGCGGGGACAGATAGCTACATTTAATTATCCTAATTGAAAGTGATTAATTACACAGTAAATTATTATGATATGAAGATTTTTCTTGAATCCTTGGAATAAAATCACGGGCGAGGGGCGGGTCAAATTTCATAATCCAGGATTGAAAACAAAAGGGAGGAAAAAAAAACTATTATAACGAAGAATTCTTCTTTCTTTTTTTTGGTTATAAGGATATAATGTATATAACTCTGCCAAAATATAAGAAAAGACGTAACACGTAAAACGAATTTTTGTC